TCCACCCCATGACCTGCGAGGCACCTGCAGGCTTACGGTGCCTTCAGAGAGTGAAGCACCCAAACCTCCCACTTGGGTCGGTGCTGCCTGTGATGTGCTAAACGATTGAGTGTCTCAAAGACAGGGGGGGGTACAAAAAGCCCACCTCCACATCTTCACTCTCCCGTGTGCAGATGTGGGGTCTGGAGCGGCCAGGCCAGATGCAAAATGCACATGTGGCAAGTCCAAATTGTGTAGGCAGTACAAAAAAGTTGGCATCGTTATCGTAATTACCCCAGTAGCATTAACCTGTTAACTGCATGATCACAGCTGACAACATGACAGCGGAGAATCAAATCAATTAAACAATTAACTTAATTTCTTTCACACATCATGGTGCACTGTGAAAAGCAATTAGTTTTTTGTTGAAAAAGATGCAATTTCAACAAAAAACATTTTTTTTTTACGTATAGAAACTGATTGTCAATTATATATCTATGGTATCAAACGGCCTTTCAAACCACATCCCATCTACTGCAAATGTTCTTCTAACCTCAGGCAAATGCAAGAGATAAAAAAAAAGTCATTTCTTTCCTTTCTCAAGCTACAGTTCAACAACGGCAAAAGAGTGAATTACCTAAAGTACATTATACCCCAAAGAGGATTTATGACATTTATCATGCGTCACATCTAAATCACCTAGTTACGATTGCCCATTGAACACTGAAAACAGTGCCTCTAAACCACACACAGGACAAGGTTCAGAGATAAAACCCCAGTGATAATGACAAAATGAATGAGGAGGAAAAGACAGTTTCGAAAGATGAGAAGCGTTTGCTGTCAGCGCGCCTCTGTGAAACAACATGATGTTCGTTCTAAAACCTTGTCAAGAAGCATACTTTTTATAGATTTCTTTCTAAACGTAATACATTTAGTGAAATTAATTCAATCATGGCATAATTTGTAAAGGCAAATCGTCACCTATTTAAACAATGAACAAATTCTGCCAAGGTGCAATATCACTGCTGCATACTTAAGGTGTACGGGAGTAATCTGGGTGCGTTTGCTAAAGTCAACAAAAGTCTTGTTGAGCAACTATGAAGAATTAGATAAAAAGACAGGACAATCTAGAAAAGCAAACGTTTTTATTAAAGATGCACAGTGACTCAGAGGTACTAAACCCATCACGAAAAGAAAAATGTTGGTGTGTTTGTGTATTTAAATGCATACTGTATTTCTAATCAAATAAAAAGGGGCGATAGTTCACAAAGGTTGATTTTGCCTCCTCTAAGAGCCTCTTAATTTATATCGGTGATGAGCAGACCGTCAGGCACCTTCACTTTTAAATTTCAGAATTCAGCCTTCCATAAACCCCAAGGTACCTCAATAACCACGTTACGGTAAAACTGTGTAATATCTGTTTCCCCAAATTGCACCTCTACCACTAACCAACTGACCTTTACACATGTACTGTATGTTCACCACATCAAGCCCTGGGTGTGAACTAAAGCCCACTGGTTCCTCACTCCAGGAAGAAAATTAATCAACCAAACCACACAGCTTTGTGGAGAAGGATAACCCCCCCATGATCTTACAAGCTACCTTTGCCATCTGAGTTGCAGTCTGGCCTTTGGCCCCCAGGTACACCATAGCCAGGGCTGCCGTGATGCTCAACGGCGAGATGAAGACATTACCGCCCGGGTTAACCTCGTTGAGTTTCCTGAAGAGATCCAAGCAGAACTGAGTGTTGGCAGAACTAAGACTGTCCATTGCCATTGCTGTGGAAACGGAGAAATGCTTCATTAGACACTAGGGACACATTCAAGAAAACAACGTAAAGCATTGGGTAAATTAAAAGTGTCAATACTTCAAATAAAAGGTGTCTCGATTATGAATCGTTGTTTTTCCAAGTTCAAGGGCGATTTGAGCTGCGTTACTTAAAACAAGGTGCTGCTTATGCTCATTGAGAGCACACTGGGGCAAATCACCACTATCCGTCCAACTAAAAGTTTGACAACGTCAATAGTTTGCTTTCGTGTCGTTTAAAAGAGTCGTTTATCCCTTTATGGCTGCATGTTATTCTGTATTGTCTTTTTTGGAAGAAAAATACGCCATTATTTCCTTCACTTCCTGGTTACATTTGGTCTCAATTTTAAAATAAAAAAAAACGGTTTGGATAAAAACAGCTGAGCTTTACCAACACAATAACGGCGGACGATACGTTTAACACAGCAGAACAATCTACTGCTCTGCTTAAAAACCACCGTGTGCGGCAAGAGGAGTTTTGAAAAGATCAGCAATTCAGCAGACAGTGAAAAATACACTTTTTTTGCAGACGGACAATCGCCCTTCACCGACCTAAACGAGCTGCATCTAATAACGTCATTTTCTCGTTTCAATACCAAAACGGGAATGCTCCCTCGACATGCCTCAAAATACAATAACAAAACGAAATCGCTTACTTTACCGGGATACGAACTGATGTCCTGGCACGCCTGACTCTCACCAGTGCTACCAACACAGGAATGGGCGTGTTACACTACAGTCACACAAACTGCATCATATTCAGTGGCCAGGCTACATCCTTATTGGTCTCGCCGCTCATTCACCACATTATGATTTCAGCACGACACTGGTTAGCTTGTTTAGTATTATATTAAGTGCTGTAAATTACTCACAGGTGCATTTTATATGTTAATAAGAGAAGAGACTTGTCAGTTGAAAGCAGACAGCTCTGCCCCTTCACAGTGAAGGGAATCTGATGTACAGTCCGACTTTCGTTATGATTTTCCTTTTGTGCGTAGTCCTTACAGATTCGACTATATGCAGAGCTTCAGCTATAAAAATACAAAATTGTTATAATTATGATGCTGAATGGCACACACCGCATCGCTGCTGTTTGAGTGCTTTTGTAGAAACGTAGTGAGCTCACTTGTAACATGCTGAATTTTGCTGAATACAACTAAAAGGTTTCGCGCTGTATAGGTCGTCTGTATATTATTGTACTGTTCGTATCGAATTTATTGAATTTTCTTCTTCGGATATCTACAATATGCACAAAATCTGCTGTTAAAAGTGCTTCCCAACAAATAGTTATTGCAGTATATGATATATTTAAATATTTATAAAACGATTACATTTGATGTCGATTCAACTAAAATAAATTAAAGAAATAAATGGGAAATAGAGTACACGACAGGGTACTCTCTGAAGGTGAAGGTGCACACAGGGTTAAACACAAGAGACGCAGAACTGCACTGCACCACCCCTACTATTGACTGAAGGTCGTTAAGATCAAGTTAAGATAAGCAAAAGATTCAGATCTTAACTGTTTTTCACAGATGCCGTGAAACATATCTGACATTTTACTTTTTTACTGTAACTAAATAAAAAAAACTTAAAATTTCGAGCATTACATGAGAGTTTTTAGAGAAATTCGGGACTAAATAACTTGGTGCTTAAATTGTGGTTAGTACTTTGGAATACTCTGTTGTGGCAATAATTTAATTTCCTCACAAATCGCCGATCCAGGGTTAAGTTTGATTTTATTGCAAACTTGACATTGAAGTTTTAGCTACTCGCAACTTCATTCTGAAAGTTTTATTCTTGCTTCTCGCGGTGGTAGGGATATCTTGCACCGTGATCCAGAGCCAAGCAAGTTTATTACACATGATTTGAACACAAACAGTGCAACTTCATTTAAAAAAAAAACGGCGTGCACTACTGTATGTCCTGGCATCTTTAGGGCAGAACAATATACTTCATTCAAAAAGGAAACCTGGGCACTTCGTACTTTAAATTGGACCACTTGATTTAGAGATCCAAATCACCCTTGGAAGAAATAAGACTGACAGTATGGCTTTTTTGTACTACATTATATAGAGGTTATACTCGAGTCTATAGGAATATGTCATTCATCATTGTCATCTTGAGAGACGCGAGGGGAATATTTACAAGGCCTTATTGTTTTCAGTGATTTTACAGTAACTCTTACTCCTGGATCTGAATGTGCTGAGGCAATAAAGGAAGCTTGTATGACAGACGTCCAGAGGTCCTTCCAATTCAGCCATATAATATGAAATTGAAATTGTGTGCAATAGGAAGAGAGCTTCTATTTAATAATGAGAAGCTTTGATACAGTATATCCATAAAACTAAGGTAAATACCTCTTGGTCTTTACTCCTATTCTTTTCCTAGATCCCCGAAATCCGTCATCCACGAGCCCTGCTGCAAGAAGAGGACACATTTTGTGGAAAAAAAAAGCTAAATTTGTATCGGTACTTTCTAGAACTAAATTGTTTTTATAATTACACAGTAAAGTTAGCTCATCTTGTCACACTTAGGTGAAAAATAATCTCTCAGTGAAAAAAACGTGAACCAAACGTTCAAATTAAAGATAATACATTTTATTAGAAATTATTTATCGATTTTGTATTTATTTTCAAAATGAAATACACTTTGAATTAAGAAAATACCATTAGTACATTATTTTTACATCCAGTTTTACAAAACATATTTAAACTTTAACATAAAGTATTTTATATTTATGCGAGTCCCATATTTGTGTAAAACGTATAGTTGTATATTTTAAAGTTTTTAGGAGGCTGACAGTTTTTTTTTTCTGTTCAGATTGCCAGTGAGAGAAAAGATAGCAAGCCTGCACATACTGTACTAATGTTGCTGCAGAAGAACAAATTGAACAAGTATTTCTTACAGAACGAGGAACACTTTGTAACTGAAGGGCACTCTACTTTGCGATGAAAGTGTTGAAAAATTCTGGCAGTACATGTGTCCAGCTATAACATTCTAACCGGCAGGAAAATGTATGAAATGTACAGACACAAATCAATAAGAACTTCTTAAAATGATTGTCTCGAGCACAGCCAAAGACAAGCTGACACAAACTTTCTCACTTATCACTTGGACAACAGGGCAAGCTTTCACACGTGGCTCATCTGACACCATTCAGCATCCCTGCCCTTTGTCCTCAAAAAAGCTGCATCATTTGTGATTCATGCTCTTTGCATGCTCAAACCTAATTTGATTTGAGTGACAACGCCTGGCTCAGTGTTTTTTTTGGCAATATCTCAATGAACACTAGCACCGAGTCAAGGTGCTGAGCGTATTTTGAATTTGACCTTTTACGTTTGGGACACATTGCCCCAAGCAGATTAATTACCACATCCCGAAGTTTCTTTTTTCTTATTCAGCTCGGTATCAATGCCCGCTGAGCCCAAAGCGCTCCTGTCAAATGACAACACCGTGTTCAGTATTGCCCTGGCCTCAGGGCAGGGTTACACGTTGGCAGGAGTCCAGTCGAAGAAGCTGATCTCCTTCAGTTCCTCCGGCAGGTAATCTTGCTCCACTGGCTCGCTGAAGGCAGGGTTGTATTTGTAGCCTTTGGCGTAGCCCAGGTTCTTCATCAGCCTGGTCGGCGCGTTGCGAAGGTGCAGAGGCACAGGTGGCAGGGGGCCCTGGTGATTCCTGAGGCACGCCTTGACGTTACCGTAGGCCTTGTACACCTCAACCGACTTGGGGGCCCTGGCAAGGTACACCGCGCACTGGGCCAAGATCACCTGCGCGGGACAAGTCACAGCAACAGCGCCATCAAGGTCAAGAGGACAAACTAGGGCAATTGAAAGACTGACGGCAGCATTTAACGAATAGGAACAATAGGTTTATTCGATGCTGAAAGGAGAAGACAACACAGCGTTTCCGCGGTGGAGCCTTCAGGTTTATCTCCACAATTACAGCATCTGTTTCCTTTTAACAGGATTAGAACTTTTAAACCATAAAGAAAGAGCCTTTAAAATCATCCTGCTCCTCACATCTCACTTCAGACAGTTTAGCAAACGTCTGATGCAGTTTCATAACTTAACCTTAAAACCAAGGACCTCAGACCTTAATTTCTCTTAAAACCACAAAGCACCTTTTTGCACAATGCCGGTTATTTTTAGTTTGATTTCAGATGCCTTGGGAGACTGTCATAGTGTGAGTGTCACATGCTGCGTTCAGAAAGAGATTAAACCAACTAACATAATGAAAGTACAGTTTGGTTTTTTCAGCCGCAGTAGAGACAGCAGAGTACTGCAATATCTAAAAAAGGTGGATCAAGGATTTGCACTCAAGGGATCTGACGCACATCACACTCGGGCATCCCGATGACATGGCATGCTTGAAAAGCCGACACAGCCTGAGTCAGCGCCATCGGATCGGCGAGACCTGCAAAGGAGAATAATGCAAGAATGGGAGTGCGTCTCAAACCAAGAGCAGGGGGCTCGTCTTCACGCAAAGGGTTATGGGTGTATAGCCACCTTGTTAAAGCTCATACCCCGCCTTCCATCAAGACAGCTAAAAACCCCGCAGTAGGGGGAGATACACAGCTCACTGCAAACTCACAGGGGCCAGTAGGGTTCTTGGGTTTGCTGCTGCTCTGGCCTTATTAAGCCTGCCTAAACCTCATGGCTGTGAGCTACTGAATTGTGAATTACAACCACAAAGAGTTAAAAGACATAATGACGGATGTTTTTTTGGAGACCGCCTCATTAAAGGCATTTTGAATTCCCGTTCTTTTTTTTTTTGCATTATGATCACCATCGGCTGATGACAGTCCAGCTCATGCTGACGATGCCTCAGCTATAGGGCTCCACCTGCTCGAGTGCCTTAGTAGGCAAAGCCTTCTGGAAGAACACCAAGCCTCCACTTCTAGTGCTGCACACTAATGCTTTGAGATTAAAATAGTTATCCATTGATTCCAAGGCAAGCACAACACAAATGCACAAATGGTAATATCTCGCCAGCAGCCATATCGCCCTTCAACTCTTAACTGGCAGCCCACTGAAGCTCAGCAGGTGTGAGGCTGGACAGTACCTGGATGGGGGACCTCCTGGTGAAAAACTAAGGTTGCAGCTGGAAGAGGTATTAGGGGGGCCAATAGGGGGCGCTGTCACCCTGCAATCTGTGTGGGTCCTAATGCCCCATTAAAGTGACGGGGACACTGTACTGTAAAAAGGCGCTGTCCTTCAGATGAGAAGATGTAAGACTGAGGCCCTGACTCTCTGTGGTTATTAAAAATCCCAGGGTGTTTCTTGAAAAGAGTAGGGAGTGTTACACTGGTGCCCTGACCAAATTTCCCATTGGCCTTTACTAATCATGGACTCCTTATAATCCCCATCTCTGAACTGGCTTCATCACTCTGTTCTTCTCCCCACTGAGAGCTGGTGTGTGGTGAGCGTACTGGTGCACTATGGCTGCTGTCACATCATCCAGGCAGATACTGCACATTGGTGGTGGTGGAAGGGAGTCGCTGTATAAGTGTAAGGATTATTACTATTGAGACACCCAGTAATATACTGAAGTATCCCATGGTGGGAGTCTGGCCTTCTGGCATAGCAGAGTTCACTGCTTTTGGAGGAGAGGGTCTAGGTGGTGGGAGTGTGCCTGAGAGACGACAATCAAGACCTTGGCTGTCAGTTGTAAACCACCGACTCCACACAGGTCTTATAGACTCAGATATCAGGTAAGTGTCTTTGTAATATGCTGTTTAAAAATAGACAGCAAGTTAATAATAATTAATAATTATCTTAATTGAAGTAGAGCTGCATAAGATACTGTACTATACATAAGGAATCAGTTGAGAGAGGATGGTAACAGTTTAAAGATATTCTTCTTGAAGCAAAGGACCGGATTACCCCATGAATAAGTAAGTCATAGGCCAGAAAGCAGTTTAATAAAAGAGTTCAATAAAATAATTTAAAAAAATGAAAAAAGTGAATGAAAGCACTTTGTAAAATCATTGTAAAATCTTTGTAAATCATGAAAACTAAAGTTCCAGTTAAAGAAAAGGTGCATATTGAACTGCAAGCAAAGTAAGTTAAGGATATTAGAAAGGCAAAAAGAAAAAGGAATGTTGCAGTGGACAGAAAGGGAATGGAACTGTTATTATTATTATTAAGTGCTGTGATTCTACCAAAACACAAAGATTTTCATCCAGCAGAAGCTGAAACTCCAGGTCAGGAGCTGCTCCACAACAATTTACAAGGGAATGGCCGGAGCCGGTGAAACACAATGTCTAAACCACGCCTTCTGCCACCTTTAGTGCTCCTTACCTACGTCTTCACTGGCGAATCTCACCAGCCTTCGAGCCACATAGAGAGGGTCCTCGCCTCCTTCCAGCATGCGCCCCAGCCAGTAGAGGGCGGCGTTCTCATGGGAGCCCCGCATGGACTTGTGCAGGGCAGAGATGCAGTTGTAATGCTCTTCGCCTTTAAGAGGAACATAATGGGGGATTGATTCTGAGTCAGGCGGTCAGTGCTCCTGTACCCAGGGGCTCCAGTGTGCTCGGAGCTGTCCGCAGGTCACCCCTGCGGTGAAGGTTTGCACTGTGCAAGGCAGCACGCATCACTGTTCTCCTCACTCTCTGTTCAGACCAGGGCTAAAAAGGACTTTGTTACACCTGAGCCGTTTGTGACTCAGGGGATTAGTAAGGCTGCGTCATTCGGACAAGTGATAAACCACCCGGGTAGATTTACTGACTGCTGTAGTGAGGATTTCAAAGAGGTGCAAACTAAAATGTATATATACAGTATATACTATATCCGGCTAATTAGGGCTCCTGAGAAAACAGACTGTTATTGTACTTACTGTTTGTATCAAGCAGCTATGAACACTGCAGTAATAAAAAATAGAAAAAAATACAAGACTGGTTAAGTGTATCCATTTTTAAAATTGAATTTACCATAATTCTGCTGAGCTCAAATAAAAATGTAAACTTTAAATATATAATCTAAAATATATGACAATTCTCCTTCTATTCCCATCCATATACGTGTATCATGACCAATGTCGAACCCCTTGACCACTGTGTGTATAAAACAGACAAGGCTTTTAGGAGATAAAGCCTGAATGTTCGTATTTACATTTGATATTATTGAATAGATTATTAAATATAACTTATTTAAAAGTCATATTTAAACGACAGATATTTATTTTATTGCCCGTAAATATTATTTGTTCACTTTTAAATGTCTCAGTTGGTTTAAATCATGTCTGAAGCTGATCAAATCAGCAACAAGAACAACCTTACAAAACATGTTTGAAAGAGACAATTGAGCAGCTATGCCATAAATACGCAGGAACAACCTATTTGTAATGCACTGATTCGCAACTTTAGTTAACTCTAATTCATACGTTAATTATGATTGCAAAGGACACTATGTGAATGATAATGACGACCAATAGCGAAGGTCTTCTTTATCCCTTGCAATTTTCAATATATTTGGGCATTTTGGATATAAATGCATTACATAACCCGGATCATCATTCAATACTAAATCCAGCACTGAACCGATTTTGTTGGGAGACCAGCGCTCATTGAAAATCCTGTGTCCCGTGGTTAGAAAAGAGTTTGTGTCTAAAACAACTGGTATTCGAGCCTAACAAAATCCCAGGGGATAGAAGACGGATTATCATTGCCGGCATTGTGGCTGCTTCCCCTTTCAAACGGTCTCTTCACACAAAACGTTATCTTCATCTTTTGAATTTCATGCGGCTGATTATTCGGATGCCGCAGTCGCAACCCCAGTACGCCGCAGTATCGAAGGCATGCCGCTCTCCGCCGATACTATTCCTGACGGCTTTTCCTCGGAGAATCCCCTCTCTGCCTCGCCGCGCCGGTCCAACACAAACAACGACAGAACCGCGCAACGTCGCGCTGGCTTTCAAGTTGAGCTCACGCTAATAACCCCGACAGCTGGGCTCTGGTCACAGCCCTGAGAGAGGCGTCGGGTGGTCTCTGACAATGGGGGAGAGAAGGGAACACCGCGTCCTGGAACTCATCCTGTGGGACCCCGGTTTTTCCTTTTAGCGTGCAAGCAGGGAAGGATAGCGGGGAAACAAGGAGACACGGGACACGCGATGCTTTCACTAACCCAGCCTGTCTGGCATCCGATATAACAACAATAACAGCCCATTCCCCCAGCACTCCAACAGCTGTCAGGTGATTCATGAAGACCTCTGTACAGCGGTACAAACTCACAGTGCTGGTCTCTCTGTTGTATGCAGCCATACAGTGCTCAGATGTTACTAGGAATTGAAAACTGTGTCAGGCATCGAGTCTGCTGTTAAAATCAAAGGGACTGATACTAAGACAAAAAGTAAATGATCATGCAAACTCCGAACACACCACAACATTGTGCAGCATCTCATGCACACTGCGACTTGGCGCTGGTTTTAGAAGAGGGAGGGACTGCAAAGTTAAAGAATTGCCGTCCGGAAACTTACAGGATTCAAATCCTCAAAGTCATTGACAAAATCAAAAAAGGGTTGTGGGGTTACGAAACAAGCTACCCAGACATATTAATAAAAGCCAGCACTCTGGCTTCTTTCAAGAAACAGCTGGATGAGGTGAAATAGCTACTGACCTTCTGTCATCTGAAAGTGTTCTTATGCTCCGAGTCATGAAGGCTGACTCTGCACTAAGCTTGCCAGTTTATCCCCAGAGAATGCATAAGTTACTACTGCACTTTCAATCAAATCCTAGTGGTTGCATCATTCCACTTTGAAATTAAAGATATAAACAAATTCTTCTAAAAATCTATTAATAAAAAAAATTACTATGTACTGTAGAGGTGCAGCTTACTCCAAAAACATCCAGTGTTGACAGTGTTTGCAACTTTGGTTTTCCAAGAGCGGGCAATCGTGTATCATTTCGTCATATCATTCTAACAGAGAAGGATTTTGCCCTTTAGGAACCATGCAACTCCTGCAAATTCTTCTTTTCATGCAATAAGAAAATAAACAACGGTCAGCAAGACGAGACCTACCCGCCCTGTCATACAGTATATGAGATCGCTGGAGGCCCTCTTTGACATGGTCTTCCTGGATTATAATGGGTTGAGTCTTCTCGCTGGCCTGGCCCAGCCTGGCGGCGCTGATTCTGGCCTGTACAGCAAGCTGTAAGCCATTCAGTCCGGTTCTGGCATCACCATCACACAGGTGAGCTATGGTGCTGAGGGCCTTCTGTTCAATGTATATCCGTGGCCTGCAAAACACAAAATGTAGTCTTCAGGGCAAACGCACAAAAAGGCGAGGTGGAAACCGAGGAAACCCTGATGCCTACAAAGCCTCTTTGGACACTGTGCCCAAGTGAGAACAGGTTCTGGGGAAAACGCAAAGTTTTTGAGATAAAGGCAGGCACACCAAGTACACCAGTGCAGATGGAAACAGAAGGAGCATTCCAAACTAATAGCAAAAAAAAACAGGGACTAGAGCAATGTCTGTCAGTTTAAATGTCACATGCTCAGCATCTGCCATGACAGAAACCCAGCTGGAAACAGTAGCTCGCATCTAACTGTCACAAACAGGACAAGGACATTATAACAGCCAAGAATGGTACAGAGCTGCAGATCAGCACCACAAGGAAAAGACTTGCCTGTCCTGATTTATTAACTATCATACAGTATGAAAATCTATCTTTTTATTTGGCATACCATACAGTACTTCATCATGTTTCAGTGGGTATGTTAATGCACTGAGTGGCACTTAAAAGAAGTGTAATATGGGTAAGCAGATCCCAGTGCATCTTTTTTTAACCGGCTCAATGGAAGGTCAGTGGAAGATGCTTGAAATTACCTTTTCAGTTTGAAACTCGACAGCAAGTGTCAGAAACCTAAGACACAGAAGCAGAGAGCCGCTGTTAAGCGGCCACAATTTACTGCATCTTATACTCCACTTGCACTTGGTAGTCCTGAAAAGTTGAAAAGAGACATTCCTTTGAAGCTTTCCTGACCGAAGGAAGAACACAGTTTTTCCTTTTAGGTTTCTCCCTTTTTAAGTGAAAAAAAAGAGTTCTTACACGATACAATTTTTCCTTTAATTGTGATATTTATGCACCTCTTATGCAGTGTACAGTAGGTTGTGCATATTGTACCAATGATCAACAGTCTGCATGATGTTTATTCCAGCCAGCTCTCAGTCCATAAACTGAATTCTTAATGGTCTTAAAGGGATTAATTTAAACACTCAAACAATTTGTATGGCCCTTAAAAATGACAGAGGTTCTTTTAAACTACTGAATTTCAGAAGTTACCAAAATAATTCCAAACATTTGGACAAGAAAGAAAACTTGCATTTGTTCCAATCAAACACCTTGCTAATTAAGGCTATAATTATTTAAGGCTCAGCTGGAATGAAAACTAGGTGTACGGGCCTTTGGAACCAGGATTGAAAACCCCTGGTTTGTGCTTCATATCTGACAACAGCAACACGAGCAGCTTGCTACTGGTTTTGTTTAGGCATGTAAATCTGCTGGGACTTGGAAATCCAGAAAATATATTCAATCCAGAAAATTATCTGCATAATCTGATACAGTACAACAAGTCCTGTTGTTTCTTTGCGAGACGCTGTACCTGGGTGTTCCAGTCCATCTTATTTTATTCTGTACAGGCTGACGGGTGGCTGCTAAATGGAAGAACTGAACTCCCTCCAACAGGGCGAAAATAACACTGATTTTATTACATATTAAATAGCTGGGCTCATCCAGCCTTGCTTAGTTACAAAACATAAACAGGAACATCACAAGAACAAGTTAAAAAAACACTCTGGAAGAGGTTCCAAAAAGGGACAATTTTCCTTTGCGTTTTTATACTGTATAGCAGTGAGGATCCAAAAATGCTTTAAAGAGAGAAAGGGGACCCAGTTCACCCATCACACGGGTGACACATACCTGCTGTTGCGTGCACAGCACATCTGGTGGAGACCTGAGGAATTTCTTCATCAATTAATGGAGAACTACAGATATGGCAGATTGTCCTCAATGAGGAAAATAGAGCTCCAGTCTAACAGTGACAGTGCTATGAAGATATTTAAACCAAGCAATCAGGAATTCAGTTTAATATCTTAACCAAACAACATCACCATCTACCACACAGTGTCCTGGTAGTCTGGTGTTCTGCAATACGTGTTGGGAAATTCTGGCCCAAAGGCAGAAAAGTCTCAGTTACTGCTCCACCAACACTCACAGCCACAACCGGTGTTTCCCTCTTGTTGTCCCTTCACGACACTAACCAGCCCCAACCTTGCTATGCTTCCAAGACGTGATGAGAGCTGGCTGCAACAGGGGTATCTAAATTTAAGCAGTTGGGTATTTTACTGGAACAATTCAGATTGAAGAGCCTGGCTGAAGTGTCTCACCAAACAGTTATGTTCCTGCAAGTGAGACGGGTGTACAAGTACAGAATTTAATTCGGCGACTAGGCTACCTGTTAAATTGGGGTCAGGGTATTTTAATTCGAGGATATAAATATCAGAGGCTGTTAACAGGAGGGACATTAAATGGGTTTTAATTGTACTGGACATTTCGAGTGGAGATTTATGGCACAGTTCCTAAGCACAATGGATGAGAGACGTGGCAGGAGGAGCACCAGCACAAGGGAAGGAAACAGCGAGGGCCCACTCAGTGCCCCCGAGAACCTGTTCGCGGACATTCCTCTCCCCATTTTAAACCCATTCATCATGCGCAGCTGGCCCTCGACAAGCACCAGCCCTGCTAAAGCTTGATCACTGTGGCGAAGGACAGCCAGAACTTCAAGCCCAGTGGAATTTTATTTCCCCCCTACAAAGCAAAAGGCAGGAACACGGCCAAAGGAACAACTGCTGCCCAAGACAGCAGCTCGTTCACATAATCTCCGGTTTCCACCTCATTGTCTAATCTGGAGAACGATCGGAACAATGCCAATGCCATCTACAGTGATACCAGACCAGTCTGCATCACAGTGGCCCACAGGGTCTCCGGCAGAAGAAAGAGAGCTACCAAGTGAATTCTGTTTTATTGCAGCTCGTGTCCAACTTGAACAATGAATTTCTAGAAAGCCAACATTTGTGCTTCAGTTTTGAAACTCACATAACATGTTTTACTGACATGCTGGGAAATCCAGGAAGCTTCTGAAGTCATTATGTGCCCTCTGTACTGACTTCGTTGATGGCAAATCATTTAAAAAATGTTAGAAATTTAAAAGAATAGGCCTAGATACACTACATGGACATAATTATGTGCACTGAGTACTGTACGTACCTTAGTATAGAAAAAAATGAACTTCATCGTCACAGTCATCTTTAAAAATCTTGGCACAATACATAGTAAAGAACTAATAATTTGTCTTTTTTGAAAGTCTTATACTATGTCACTGTAGATACATTGGGTATATCTTTAAAATTGCTAATCTATATATCCAGTAACCCAGGGTCCTTGAGTGCCACAGTGCTTTTGGTTTCTCACTTCATCTCAAACCTTAATATCTTAAATGAGCCAATTAAGTGGATAAGAAGCTGAATTAGAGCGCTCTATGACCAGGGCTTTCTACCCTAGCAATAATCTTTGTAACGTTAGTGTGAGACTATTTAAAAAGAGGACTGGATTTGAGAGTTCCGGCTGTCACTGTCATTGTGACAACACAATAAAAAGAAACGATAGTGAAACTCTCCGTGTTCTGAGTGCTTTCATTTGGATAATCATAATTTCAAGTTCCAATATAAGAAAACTACAGTTTCTGTTCTTGCTTCGGCATCTCAAACAGCTACCTTAGTACACATGTAACATCGCATGCAGCTTTTTTCAATTAAACATAAATACATCAAATATTTTAGTCTCTATACTCTCAGTGCTCAGATTGGCCTGTAAGACCATGAAGATGATCATTAGGAAGCCCAAAATGAGAGCGAATCAGAGTATGTGAAACCAACCCTAAATGGTTTCGCACATTTAAAAATAGTCCTTGCTAACGATTGTTCACAGCTGTCAAAACAACTGTAGCTTTCAGTTTTTGTTTCCTTTAATTTAAGCAAGACAACAGCCAACAGACTGATGCGTGACTTAACTTTAATGGACAAACAAGCAGACTTGCGAGATATTTAAAAAAAAAAGAGAATCATTTAGAGCTGCTTTATCTCTATCTGGGCAAGGATCTCCCCTCACTGCTGCTACAAGCCAAAGAGAGAGAATGTCAGCTGCTCCACCTGTTCTGTGCTTTCAGATCAAGACTCTATCAGGTGCAGTTCTCCAGCTGAACGTCACAAAAACCAAAAATCAGCAGAGTTATGCACCAGTGATTAATCAATAAGATCCCCTGAAAAAAGAACAGCTTATCTCCTAGTCTAGTCTATCTTACCATGAAGACCAGTCTCAATGATATGAAGAGCATCTTAAACTGTATAATGTAGCCAGCATTGACTAAGGGACTATATACATCACGTGTGTATGAGATTCCATTACATACAGTAGTAACCTTTTTTAGACTAAATTTATGTACCAACATTTGTGGTATTCTTGAAAGAAGCATTATCCAAAAATGCAAAATTTTACTTCATGTTCTTCACATTTGTAACGGAGGTTTGTGACCTCTATGGTTCAATGTTCCCGTTGTTACAATTAGTCGGCTTTATAATATTAGTTTGCAAACTTTCCAGCTTTGACCTTAAGAGATGAGAGCTTGGAAAAACAAAGGGCCATATTCGTAGACTTCTTACCAGGCTATTAATACCTGTTTATACATTTACACAAACACAAAGAAGCTGGACAGCATCAAATACATCTTTTTTTCCTGATTTACCAAATTGAGTTTAAAAAAAGTGCACATGTGTTCATCATTTAGAGAGAGGGCCTATAAAGCACTTTTTTTACAAGAACTCAGTATCTGTTAAAACAAATAGTTCTCGAGCTTCAACTAGCAACGATCCATTTACATCTCGCCCCCTTCAAAGTACCTCACCGCTCAATTCTCTTAATATCTTTCTAGCCAATGTGTTCAAAAGCAAGCCTTCACACCAACAGGACAAGGCGCGCTCTTACTGCCCGCAGATATGAAAAAGCTCTCCACGATATTTACACAGCGTGACAAACCTGAGCGAATTTATATAGCAGCAGACAAGATGATCCAGTAGTTAAAATTAATGTACTAACCCAAAAAGCATTTATAGTGGAAAACAAAAAGAAAAAAAGCTTTGTTTTTTCCCTCCCACTACAACTCATGAATTCCCTTGATTAGCTGTGCAGCTGTTTCTGCAGTAATGCAGCCTTTCTTCCTGACCTATGGCTGCAAAGATATCCCCACAGGCAGCCCCCTCTCTCCTCTTTCCTGGCGACACTCAGCCTTCTGAGATTCCAGACCCTCAGTGCTAACCAGTCGCATTCTCCGGGCGCTTACTCAGAGCCGTCGCCGCTGTCCTCGGAGTCGGCGCGGTCTCCCTGCAGCACCCCGACCCCCAGCGAGCCGACGGCCCGCAGCAGAATCGCCTCCATCGCCTCCACGGACAGCTTCTCCAGGACGATGACCCGGCAGCGGCTCAGGAGGGCCGCGTTCACCTGAAAGGAGGGGTTCTCCGTCGTGGCGCCGATCAGGGTCACCGTGCCACACTCGACGTGAGGGAGGAAGGTGTCCTGGAGATGGGCGGCAAGGAGAAAAAGGTGCTTGGCATCGCCGACGCGCCGAAATACCCACAGTAAGTCTGCTCTCCTTCTGGCTCACGCCACCTGGCATTGTAAAGATTCGCGTCCGGAATTTATCGGGAGAGCTTTACATTTTAGCACTTTGCTCTCCGCAGGAGGAGTCCCTGTCACACCATTTCGGAAAGCTGAGCCCCGACATTGCTTTCTGCGCACAATGCACGCAAGGCAGGCAACCGTTCGGTCTAACTTTTGAGGTGCGACTCTACTTCGGGAACACACGTGCGTGCGCTTGGGGGAAAAACGTCCCCACAAGTGTGAAAAGTCTGTCTGGGGCGATTTAAAAAAAGTATTAAGAAATAGGACAAAACAAATTTGTAATGCAAAAAAAAAACACACAGAAAGAGCACTGAAATCTGGCACCACCACAGTAAATGAAGAAATAAAACACAGTTTTAGAAAAATGTATTCATGCCATATGTTCCCCTTAATCCTACAGTCAGTCTGTAAAGGGATTATTCCACACTTCCAGAAATGTACCCCCCAATTTCAAAGGTGTATACTGTATATTAAATGGGATACACCTAGAATTTTGTTTTGTATAGCTTTTCGCCATTTGTGAATGTTTCTAGCCTGTCTGGAAATTACATGTGATGTGGTTTATATTATGTATTCAACACAAGTAATCACTGCACAAATGACTGTCTCCTGATTGTGTGGTTGGTTTTGAACACAGCTGCTGTTGCCTCAATACAAAAATAACCTGGAAGGAGGTTTCTTCCCCCAACATTGAGGTGAATTGTTCTGGATGAAACACGGGGTCTTCCAGATAGTTGTGTGTCCTGCCAGAGTTGTGGGACAAAACGTACAGTCTCTCGGTGATTTCATATTGCACAGTGCAAAGCAGGAATGTTCCAAAACCATATTCCTTCTGCCTCCAACCTTTACCTTTGCACACGCAAAATAACTCCCCAGCTCCTTTCGTCTCAAATGTGTCATGATTACTTTAAAGCTGCAGCCTAGTTAAAAAGCTCTAAAAAATATTTCTATGTCCACTGCACAATTAAAACTTTCTGAAGATTTAAAAAAATGTACAAAGTGAGCTGTGCATGAGTTTTTTTATGTTACACAATAAAAGCTTTTTCCAGAAGATAAAACATTAAATTACTTATTATCTCTTGAGTTCACAGTTTAAAATCCTCATAACTTTTGTGGATGTGTTTGTTAATATGCCGCAGAAATAAATATATTTTGATAACTGAAAGACACTAAAACTAAGACATAAGTAAACTTTATAAATGTTATTTTGCTGCTGCAAGAGCTTTCATGGAAACAAAACTGAATCCGTAAGCACACATTTTAAACTGTGTATCAGAAATCACAGGGTCAATCTATTAACCTAATTAAAAAACTTTAGATCAAAACTCTCTCAGATGCACTTCACAAAACATGGTGCTAACAGAACCTCTAACTTGGAAAAACAAAGTTGAAAACAAAAAGTACAATCTAGGCTACACTAGCTTTGTTGTTACAGCTTATATTTCCAAATGTATTTTGGGATATACACTTTCACCAAAGCTAAAGCTGTTAAGCAGACTGTGAAGGTGTCACTGGCATCCAGACTCAACTTACTAAGTACCTGAAGCTGTTGCTATGCTACTAAGTCTTGGAACAAATAACATAAACCAAACCTCCGCCTGCGTCTATGAGCAGTATATCATTGCTAGGACTTTGTCCTGCAATAGACAGGCAGGGACAATTCGACTGCTACGGAGTACAGCGGTGAATGTCAGCTTTGATAAGAGACATCTCATAAAAAAAACGAAGAACAAGCAGAGGACTCTTTGAACTTTTGTTTGTCAAGACGCATCAAAAACTAACTTTAAAGACAAAAAGATTTGTGAATTATGGAAATCCATATCCTTTACTTTGGCCTGTTAATAAATTCTGGGCTTGAAAAAAAGAAAAGATTCCATTTGAAAGTTAATGCTTTATGTTGCATCATTGTATCTGGAAAAGCATTTTTCCCAAATAGCTTGAGAGAACGTATTTTAGACAGAAGACACACCCAATAACTAACAGGTACAGAAATCCACATTTAGCATTAAATCATATTTAAATATTAATATATATTTAGTTTGAAATCACCAGCAATCTGTCAACTGTGAAGTACTTTAACTGATTTCCATTTCTAGCATTACTGTGCACATACCTTCATTATCACTTGCATCACATCTACATGTATCTACTGAAAAAAAAATGCTTTCAAAATGCCATACATTACAGTAGTCTTCACAATTCCAGGAAAAATAACTTGCTTGCACACGGAGAGAGTAACTCACCGTGTACAACACTGACGTGCAGTACTCACTAGTGTGGAGCTGTCTTTCTGCACTGTTATCTAATGACACAACAGAGCACAAACAGAAGTGAGAATCAATTTCAGGAGTCACACTGGGAAATGTATGTAGACTACCACAACAAACTGGAATTTAAACAGGAAACCACTGTGGCATAATTTCCCCATACCATGGAGATCATTTTCAAACACAATCAGTCAGGGCTTCATTTTAACATCTCAGCAGGAGGAGAAAATCCATATCACAGTATCCCCCTTTACCATACTGAGGCTTCAGTTTGAAATGTCTGGGCCGAACAAAAGAAGACAGACGAGCCACTCACTTGTCCACCAACAAAACTTCAACCTAGAGCAACCCAATTTTCCTTAAAGATCTCCCATCACATAATAACCAGGACTTCATGGAAGTACAGCTGTTTAATCTACCATGATGATGTTCTTATCCTTCAGCAGGTGGGAAGATTAGAGACGTGCTGACAGGCAAAGAGTTAAAATTGGGAGAAAAAACACTTTTTGAATGTCGCTAAATTCTTCGTGTCTAATTTCAGAAGGCAGAAAAGGAGCGACTGTCATTGTGCCATACTTAAGAGATGGGAAATTAAATCATTCACAATCGAGCGTCCAATAACATCTAAAACAAACGAGTCAATTTTGACTAGCGGTAAGAGTATGTTCGCTTTATGTACACAATTCTTTTGCTTAACACCACAGCTATAAATTACAAGAAAGCTGAAAGACCACAACCGGTATATAGATGAGCTCAACTGCGATATTCTTCGCTGCTTCAGTGATTGACAGCCTGCGATCAGCGAGGAGGACTGCAGTGGCAGGCCTGTGGCCTGGAGGGGGCGCTGTGGAGGGGGCGCCGTACCTGCTGCGCCTTGTTGAAGCGGTGGATCTCGTCGATGAACAGGACGGTCCGCCTCTTGAACAGCCGCAGCTCGTTCTGCGCCTGCTTGATCACCTCACGCACCTCGGCCGTGGAGGCGCTGGTGGCCGACAGACTGACGAAGCGAGCCCCGCCGTTCCTTTTGATGTTCCCGGCTATAATGTGAGCCAGCGTCGTCTGCAAGGAAAACCAGAAAAGATACGAGAGAAAGCCCTTCACAGGCTGCCGCGCTGCCATTCGGTACCTCTGTGCCAACGCTTCCCGGAAGAAAATGGCAACAGATGGTACCGACTGCTCACTTATTATGTTTTTAATGTCCCGTTATATGAAGAACATCGCTAGGAAACTGTGTTTCCTCTTTGTAATACTGAAAAAGGTTCGACTGTCTGAATATAATTAAACAGAATTACACCTGGCTTTAGGACCAAGTGGACACAATAACTCTACAGCTGCCCTGAAAACTTGGCCGAAGAGCAGAAACCCAAGTGAAAACGCTGAAATGAGAAACGGAATTTAAAAGCGAGGCACACTTGGGGCTAATGTCTATAATAGCAGTTCTTCAGAAGCAGCACCAACACCAGGACACGCAGCAGGGTCTTCAGCGAACGCTTCTCTCTCACATTGAGAACATACTCTGAGGCACCTCGTGTCACATCTGGAGAGCCGGGGCCTCCTGCCTACTTGTGCTCTCAACAAACAACTTTAATATCAGTACTTTCTTTCCTGAAGTCAGAAATCCAGTATCTATTGAAACACAGTCAGGATGCATTCTGTCACATGAAGTCTTTAGCAGCGAAGACCATCAATTTCTACATGATTGTCAGTCTTATAATACACATATGTATCATAGTTCAAAAGAATCAGCCAAAATACTTTTTGATGGTTTTATTGCAGGTATGGCACTGACTATTCTGACATTCAGTCACAATACACTACTTTAGCACACAACTGGACTGCTGTGTATCAGGCCTTTGTATTTACACAAGAGACAGGATTGTGTCACAATGTGTTTACATTGTAAAATTCATACATAAGTTTTTTGTTGCCATACTGTAAATAAGCCCAATACTGCATTTCATGGCTCTGTAAAAGACTTGTGTGATGCTAGCACAAACGATTTACTCAAAACCATTAGTGTCTTTTCTGCTGTATATCAGCTTAGACTGTTATTATTGCAGCATAGCATAGATGAGGAAAAAAAGCAAGTTTATCATTTAGCGATCTTCAATTCCCATTATTCAGGATCTTCAACAACGGTATCGCAACAAGAGAAAGTAAAAGTTAAATAAACAGCCTATATAACATGTAGTAACAGCTAATCCATCACTTTGCGGCTGTGTCTTGTCCTTGTTCCCTTCCATACTGCCATAAAAAAGCTCCTTTGTGTACTATATTTACAGATCAGAATTAAGTAGTAACTTAATTTTAAAAAAAGACTAAAATCACGTATTTTTATCATGAAAACCATTTCAGCTCCTTTATTTCTTACAATCATGAACTTATCATTCTCTTTTTTTACGTTAAAGCCTAACCCTAAGTAAAATGTATTTTCAGGGGCAACTGGAGTTCATACTGAACATGCTTGAATTATCACCCAAGTTCATTAAGTAACAAAACAGACATCGCATGTGGTGACCAATTTCAATATTTTAAGTTATTTCAGATTTCACAATTCAATGTTCCACTGTACCAGCACAGGAATATAGAGACAAATAAGTCCTAAACGGCTGACAAAGAGTGACACCTTGCTCCCCAGAACTTTTCCTGCATTTGTAGGAGCATGAGGTTCATTTATTTTTAAGCGTGGCCTGAACAAATCTGTCCTGTATTGTAAATCCTTCAATCCTGCCCAATAAATGGCAAAAATAGCGCAGGTGAAACTCAATACCCATGCAAGGGCAATGAGTCATGTTTTGACGGTAAATTTGGCACTCAACGCTGACCCTGTCTGGAATGACCGGCATCTAACAGGATCCCCGGTTCTCTGCATAGCAAGAAAGGCAACGCACTTCAGGCCAGAATTCCTCGGGTGCCACAGATAACCCCAACTATGCAATGTTGTTCTTCCACTTCAAAAGCTGCTTTACGAGGTATTGGAAACAGGCAAATCAAGGCCATCTGTTCCTCTCAGTTCTTTAATTTAGTCTTTTCTCTGCTCATAATAATAGCTAAGGCATTTGAAAATAACCGCAGAAAGAAAAACCTGCCTTTTTCTGAGTAAATGTATTTGTAATTATATGTTATATGGTCCTTATGTAAGCCTGCAATAGGTCAAGTGCCAACAGGAAGTCCAGCAGGTGGTTATGAGGTGTCTGTCTGCTCACTCCGGCACTATTTTCCGAAAGGTTGACCTGAACACTTCCCGTCTGCTTGTGAACTTGGATGAATTAAGTTAAACTTAAGTAACTTTAAATTATGTTATAGAGCCTTAACTGGCTTTGTGAAGAGAAAATGTCCATCTATATACACACGTAGGACTCAACCAGTCCCAATCAGGTTCTCATACTGCAGGTCACTTTTTTTTTTTAAAAGATTGGCAACACCTGTAAACTGCTGAAAAAAATCAAGGAAATAATCTGTTCAGTTAAGAGAGCTCTGGACTTTGAAGACTGAAGAGCACTTAGATTCTTGTCCTAACTGGTCTCTAAATTGCTTAACTAAACAGATCACTTGTTTAACTGCTCGAAATGGAATATTTCCATATCTTTAGAAACTGATGATCTACAAAACTTGCTGGACTAGGTCTCTGCAGGGCCAGGGTTCGAGACTACTGTTCTATAGGCTAACCACACAGTACTGTATGTTGCAATAATCAATAAAGAGGAGTGAGCCAGTTACAGTGGTGGCCTGGCATGCCCAGGCCTTAATATTACTTTCAATTCAGAGCTTTCTCAAAAGTACAGTGACGAGTCAGGGGAGCTCTGGAACAAAGTTACACGGACAGGTGAGACCACGACAAACCTTTAGCAAAGTGATGGGAAAGCTAAAGTGCGGAGAAAGAAAGGAACTGCATAGATGGTCCAAAGAATACGATCACAGGTGCCATGAGTGAGGCATTGTGTGTTCAACAAAATCCATTTTTAAAAACATGGTTTTAAGATCATTTGAAAACGTTCCGTTCAGCTTCTGCTCCCAATCCAAGAATGCAGAAATAGCAGCACGTATAAGAATAGGTCAGGACAGAGCAGAGCAGAGCAGCTGCAAGGGCTCTGTTAGCCTGCCATCTGTCAGCACTCGAGTCGGTTTCAGGGTTCGCTCCCCAATGTGCAACTACTGTACCTGCTCCTCTGCCCTCTTACAACTCTTACAAAGCAGGAAGACTCTTACAATTTGTCCGATATTTCCAATATAATTAACGTACTCCCCAAAGATTTTTAAGAACTCCTGTTAAGAAGTCTGTTAAACTATGCCTTGACAAGCTGTGGTCGAGTAGCCTTCTTCTTTCTGTATTATTTCTCCATTTATTCTTTCTGCCCTTTTCAGATCTCTGCTTGGCCAATTATGCCAAAAGCAGAGCTGTGAAGCTCTCAGGAGCTGGTTCTGTTTCACCTCCAGTAGCTTTTAGCTTTATTCACCATACTTGATACAGGCTTTATAAGAGTAAATTCTTACCAATGCTGAAATTAGACTGGTTGATTAAAAAAAAAACAAAACATCTTTGCCCTGCTTAAACAATCCTTACAAACCTTTTCATGGCAAAGGAAGGCTGCGTTATTCAAACAATACACTGGGATGCAATACTGAAAATATAAGGGAGTTATGTCAATCTAAGTAGAATATTAAACTAATAGTGTATACAGATGATCATACAGAGAAGACATTTTGCATGTCTCCTTTCTTCCAACACCTCGCATAAAATGAACTCTGGTACACAGTAAGCAGGATCTGACCATATACTGTTACTCCTTCACATTAAGCTTACTCTAGCAGATACCCTGGCTAGCAAAATGTTATTTCTCTGTAGCAGGTGTCTGTCAAAGGTCACAGACATATTTCATGCCACACAACTTCTCACTACTCAGAAGGAAAAGCCCCTGCATGTGCCTGGCAGTTAAATTAAAATGCAAAATTCTGAAAGTGAATACTGTCCTTTTAGGAGTAAATGCTAATTTCCTAAGTAAAACGCGTTCTAAACATATAGTACATGTGTTTCGTTTTTTCCCTATAGAATTATAGGGATATCTATATAGCAAATCACACAGAGAACCTGCCAAAGAATTAAAACAAGACGGATGAAGTAAATTTTAAATCTGTTTTAATGAGGAAAAACAGCCTTAAGATGAAAATAGGAGTGAGGAAGGGGATACGCAACATCAGATTCTACACTAATGTACCCAACGAAGTTGTCCGAGTACAAACCCATTTTGAACTCACCTGATGTGATAGGTACAGATCAGGTAGAAGGTTTCTCATTTGCATCACAAACGTTTTCAAGTTAGTATTTTTATTGGTCACGGTAGCCCAACAGACCTTCAAAGGAGCTTGTAGCTTGATCAGACTTTCTTAATAACATTAGTAAAAATGCTGAACCTGCTTACAGATTAGCATTAAATTTATACCAGCTGCTGGGATTCAGAACACCTCACATTTATACCTCTTTCAACCTATAGGTATCATCAATTTAAGAAAGTAAGCCCAAATAATTAGGGTATTTTGTGAGTGTTTGATACTGTACATGGTAAATTGTCCATGTCTGTTCATTCTTCAATCAAGTCAGCTACAGGGCAGGTCAGGGGCTCAAGGAAATGTTCTACACTGACAGGCAAAGGGAACTAAACCTTGAAAATCCACGTAAAAGATTTATATTAAATTTCAATGTCCAAGCTCACCTTTCTTATATATATATAGTAAACGAGTTAGGGATAAAGGGTGTCAGGAAACGAGTTAAGGAAAGGGGTGTTATTTAGCTACTTTTTCTACTTTCCTCCCCGTTACAACTTCGGATATTTTTCCCTAAAGAAAAAATGAAATCAATTTCTGGGAGCTCCCGATTGTATGCGTTTTAAACGCTGGACAGAGAGAAGAAACGTCCTTGATTTCAGGCGGCCACCGCTCGGATCTGCCATCAATACAAACGTTTTGCAAACTACAGGACACACCGACTTCCTGGAACCACGTGGGGAAAAAAAAAGATCATAAACGTTTTGCTTCGACCCCGCTCGCTTTAAGAATATGGCTGCGTGCAAACCGACGCAACTAATGTGCAAAATACCTATTGTTGGGTTTTTTTCCCCCCTGTGCTCCGAGTTCATGATTTATTATCTGCTCATAGCAAGGAGTGGGTAGCGAGGTTCACAGAGAGCACAGGCTGCACAGTCAGTCAGGGATGAGGAAAGGACTTGTGTCCCGGCTTTGGCAGCCCAGGTACCCACTCGGTACCCCCTCCTCCAGTACACATACTGTACCTTGCCGCAGCCGGGGGGTCCCCACAACACCAGCGAGGGCACTTCCTGCGACTCCAGCAGGGACCTGAGGAGCGTGTTTTCTCCCAGGACCTTATTCTGCCCGAAGTACTCCTCCAGGGTGTCCGGTCTCATCCTCTCCGCCAGCGGCTTGACGCTTTCCGGCGCGCAGGGGCCCCGGGGGGCGCAGGCTGACGCCCCGCTCGCCGCCGGCCGGGGAGCATCTGCCCCCGCTGCCCGCACCCCCCTGGGGGAAGATCCCGGGGCTTTTACGCCCTTCGGGCTCAGGTCGGCCCCGTTCGTGTTGGCGAAGCCCCCCTGTTTAGAGGAGACGGAAGCATGGGGTTCGCCCGGTTTGGTCCTTTTGCTGCCCTGAAACACGGAAAACACGGCGGACGGGGCGCTGCGGCTTGCAGCCGCCGCCAAGTGCGCGCCCTGGCCGGGCGTGAATTCAGCCGCCGCCGCCGTGTCAGCGGACGTGCGACTTTTCTTGCAAGGCGGCGTGTCGGCTTTGCCGTCTTCTTTCTGGTCTCCCTGCTCCGCTTCTAGCAGGCAGACGTCGAGGTGCGAATTTATGCTTGCGGCTTCAAAATCCTGTGAACACACTGGGCACTGAACAGCTCCCGGGTTATTTTGTTGCGCCATGTTTCTCGCCACACTTAGCGCCGCCTCCTTTTTTTTTTGTTTGTTTGGTTGAGAGATTAAATTAAATAGAGGAGAAATGTATTCATTCAAGTATATTCTGCGAAATGTACATGTCCGGTTCACTTCAGTTTGGTCACTTCTGCGGTGCAGCAGAAAGAAGCAAAACCGATCATTTCTTAAGGAGGCGGACGTTTACGTCGTGCCGGTGTAGTTTGGGATTTGTAGTCCTCAATAACTGCACCAAATTACATCGGCTAGAGGTGGAAAGGAAGTTCGTAGATTAACTGTGCCCGAGAAGTTTCATTTCAACATATTACTGTACATAAAAGTGATGTTTTCATTGATCCCTTTAGTGCCCTCGTAGGGAATTCATGGGGTTGACGAAATTAAAACTTAAATTGCTGTGTACCGTGTACTTAAGGGATCAGATAATTATATCACCGTTTCAACTAATTGTTTTGAATGTATTGCCCAGTTTGTTGCCAATGTATTTCGAATAATAATAATAATAATAATAATAATAATAATAATAATAATAGTGCTAAACACTTGTGTCGGTTTAGAGTACAGTAGATGTACAAATACATTTAAACACATAAATCACAGATTCACAGAGTGCTTTCTTGCTATTTTAAGGCCATTTAGTCCAGCCCTGATCCAGCATGTAACTGCAAACACTTATTAAAAATATATTCATCACAATATTCTGAACTGAATTGAATAAATCTAAATGAGAAATGCTATCTGGAATCTGACCTACTTCTGCAGCCCCAGGGTGGTTACGAACGTGCAGGAACCTTTCAGTGGTGAGCTTTACCCACAGTATCACAAGAGCCGAATGTCTGGAACGCTGCTTCTGTGGAAAAGGACAGAGGTCAATACAGATGGATTCTAGTCAGGGGTGCTGTGAGCTCAAGTCCTCTTGGAGTCCGGGGTTCCCCTTGGGATCAGCATGCCACAAGCTGAGAAACAGCCTGAAAGATGAAGGTAACACCCTGAGATGCAGCAGCTTAACCTTTTCTTTGGTATTAGATAATTGCAGGTGTATGTGTACAGTCTGTACAATTTACATGCCAGAAGTAAAGTGGAACTAAGGCTAGACAGTAAATGTCTTCTCTGACAGCGGTTCCAACAAATGAATCCTGTGTTTATGTAAAGATCTCTGCACTGTGCATTTCTGTGCTGGACTGCCAGTGGAATTTGCAGTGCTCATGGAGGTCACAATAAAGTCAGAGCACTCTTTTTCCTGACTGTTCCCCCTTGTCTTCCCAGTCTGAAGACCAAGCAGGCCAGTGAAACCAGAGCCCAGGTAATTCCCCAGAGGAGGGCAGACAGAGGACAGGAGCAGAAGGCACAGGTACAAGGCTGTCGCTCGCTCAAGGTGGACAGGCTCAAAGTCATCCACCAGAGGTCTAACAGCCAGCGACTTGGAAAGTTAACCTTCTTCCACTATCTGGAGAGAGTCGGAACCATGCGGAGCTTCTGGGAGGGGAAGTTCGGTGATCCGGAGGCCGGCCTGGAAGAGGTAGGATAAGTCGTCTTTTTTTCAACTGTTCCATGAGTCCTGTAATCAACTGTCCTTATGTCACTTCTTTAAAACGTTGCAGGTCCTTTTCGTAGCATTGAAGGGGGCACGTCTGCATGACTTGAAGCTTAGCACAAATGTAGGCCGCCTCAGGAGCAGACTTGGCCACACATGCTGCAAAAGTCAAATGCAGATACATAAGGAATAGAAACACTGAGAGGATATCTGCAAGCGTAGAACATGTCTGTCCATAGACTCCACTACGGAAAAGAAAGAAACATATATACTGTACGTGCAACTATGGGGCTCTGATGTTTAAGATGATAATGAGAACGGGCAACCAAGTAAATCTGTACACAATTCACACCTTAACAAGTTTTCATTATAAATGGTATAATAATACTTATATTCTGCATATCACAAATAACCCAGTTAAATGCGTTTTGTCTGTTGTCTTAAGAGTTTCGAGCTCTAAAACTCCGTTGCAACTTGTCCACGGGTGGAACTGCAGCTGCTTTTTAAACCCTTTTTTGAAATCCATCTAGGAATTTTCCCTCAATTACGGGCCGAAAGTGTTTCTTAATGCGAATGCGGTTTAAAAGATGAAATGTAGTCTGTGTGTCAGGAATCGCAGTACCTCCCTGACGATGTTCCTGTCTTGCCATCCGTCCAGTCGACAAAATCTGCAACACCATTGCTCCAGCAGGGGGAGCTATTGTTGCTTCGAGCGAATGAGAGATACCCGATTCCTTCCCCTCCGCTTGGAAAATCAAGACAGAAATCTCTGGTGTATACAGTACGTTTAGAAATGATATAAACATATTATCTGCTATGGACTGGCGTGCTGTGCAGGGCGTACCCGCCTTGTGCCCATTGCCTGCCGAGATAGGTTCAGGCACCCCTGCCTGACCCTGGACTGGATAAAGCAGTCAGAAAATGGAAGAATTAATAAATATACGGCATTTTTTGGAACACGTGAAGGTTTATTCGATGCTGAAAACAGAAGAAAAGAAACACAACGTTTCAGCTGTGGAGCCTTCTTCGAGTGACACCCGAAAAAATCAATATATGATGAGTTATCTAAGAGATACAAATGGAAAACTTTAGATGGTGTTTAAAAAAATAGATCACTCAGGCGTTTATCAATGCCTCAGGTTGAGCAGACACAACGTGCTATAATAATCAATATTAGACCAGAAGAGGCGGAAGTATCAGAGGTACAGTACTAGAAGCACTTATTGTAACATAAAACTTAAATCTTCAAGTCCCGGTAGTATTCTGCTATGTCCCTCAGGCATTTTGATTTGATACATATCTATTTCCAGAAGGTTTTCAAAATGTTCCACACGGAAGCTCAATTCTCAGATTGCAGGCGATGGGCATTTGGGGTAATACACAAGCTTGAAGAGGTTATTAGACAGGAATCAGACAGTACAAGTAAGAGATAAATGCTCAAAAGGGGGTAATACAATTAGCGGGGTACCTCATGCATCTGTATTAGGACGGCAGCTCTTACTAATTTTTGTCATTGAAATTCGTAAAGAATTGGGAAATGGCACTTTCACGTTTTTAATGAGTTACTTGCTGTGAAATCGAGCAGTTTGATTGTTACTTTTTCAAAAACAATGCAACAAAATATCAAATGGAGTATAAAGGCGTAATGGGTGCACCTCTAGGCACATTGGCCTCTCTACCGTCCTGCTGTCACAGACGTTTATTCTGTATGATAAGAAGTTTGCAATGTTGGGCCACAAGGTGGCGACAACAAACCTAGCTAAATTTTATTTTTCTTCCATAGCATTAAGTATTAACGCAGCATTGTTCAATTTTTACTTCAAAATATTTTTAAATTTATTTTAAACCAGATGAAATATATGTTAAGTTAATTTAGTTCTCCAATGTGGGTGACTAGCATCTTCATACGGTAGTGTACTGGTAGGTTTCTTTTTTATTCTGAAAATAAAACAAAAACAAAACAAAAAAACAAAAAATGTTACATTTCACTGTTATTTCTTGCTATTACATGTAATACATTATATGCTATTACACCCCATATAGTGAAATGTTGGTACCTTTCACTGTTATTACATGTTATTACATTCAATATGGTTGTGCAGTAACTGACTGTTTCATAAGAGATTCTTTTGAAGTGAGTCATTTTCAAATAATTCAGAACGTGCACTTCAATGTTGAGAAGTGCAGTAACATATTGGAATATGTAATCAACATGGAAATTTAGATACAAGAGTTTTTATTATTGTGTGAAGGTTTAAGTCCTTAGATGTTTAGGATTTAAGTACTGGATTCAGTGTGATAATACAATGTATTTATACGCTTGCAACAAGAGTGATTGAGTGATTGTTTTTATAACTTTCATACTCTGCGTTAAATGGGTTTAGCCAATTTGTTTCTATAACTGAGAAGTAACTGAAAAGTAAGCCAGAATCTCCACATGAAAAAACACTGTTAACTGACTGATTCAATGTCTGCTCTAAAGAGTTCTTTAAAGACTGTTCTACATTATTATGAAAACTAATCCTTGGAATGAGAAATCTGATAATACTTTACTTATAGTTGAACAGGCCTTTGTTTTAGCATAAATGTAGTGACAAGCCTCGATGGGTATACAGTATGGTATATCCAATTGCACAAAGCCTATGTTGATTTCAATGCAAATGTACGGTATTTAATTACAAAGGCCTAGATAAATCTGTCATTGATTCGAGCCGCTGTTTATTAGAAAGCAAGCTGTATCAGAAACAAAGGACATGTTCTGTCCTAACAAAATCTTAACAAGCACATACTGTCTCTGTCACCACATCTTTCCATTTACTAAAGCGTGTGCTGTTTTCTTGCCTGGGTTTAAAAATTAAGGCCAAGGTTGAACTAATACAAAAACACGTGACGCGTTAGGTAAGTGTTCACAATAACATGTGAACTGCGTCAGAGCTGTACTGTAGACGGATCTGCTTGCAATCAAATCTATTATCTACTTCTGTGTTCTACCAACAGTAGATTTGATTATAACCCCCAATACTAATTTACCTCTACATCTTCCCTTACTGTCAAATCTTGTTGGTTTAAGAACATAATTTTAGAGCGCTTCTTATAATAATTATTTGTTTTTTTTATACCTTGCCAATATGAAATTTTCCAGGCCTTGCTCCTCTGACACTCAGACCAGCACAGCACGAGCAGTGACTGCGCACGTTTTGCCCCAGGCACGTGTACTGTCAGAGCCACCTGTTCATTCTTCTTTGCTAACCCTGGGTCGCCACAGCAGAGCTAGTCTCAGCTGCAGGAATGAGGCAGCTCTCACATGTACATACAGTAACGACTCAGTTGGCAAGTCTCAGAGGTCGCTGTTGTGTTTTAGAAGGATTTTGCTGGTCTACAGAGATCTGCATGGAGTACTGACAAACAGAAAACATGATGGATGGATTAATATTTTTATTCATTTATTCCTTTTTTTAATTGAATAATGTAAGCATGCCCAAAGGGGTTGGGCAGCCAGTTGACCTTGGATCCCTAGAGGTTTTTTTCTCCTTACCAAGGAGTTCTTTGTTCCTCTCCTCCGTTGTCTTCTGGTCTTTTCTGTTCTGTATTCACAACATGTACTGTATGGTCACTTGCTTTGTTAAACGCCTTGGGGCAGCCTTGTTGAGAAAGGCCCTAACTAAAAATAAATTGAATTGTGTGGGAGA